AGTGCAAAGGACACGTTTATATATCAGTAAGTTACAGAAGAATCAGAAGGAAAGGAGACAGTTATGACTGCTTGTTTGGAAACAATGATCATTCCTGGAGTCTCATCTGCTCTGATGATGGGCCTTATTCCACCTCTCACAATAAGATATCAGCCCCCATCTCCTCCTCCTCACCCTCTGTCTCTAACAGAGTAGCAGTGTATGTGGACTGTCCTGCTGGCACTCTATCCTTCTACAGAGTCTCCTCTGAAACTCTGATCCACCTCCACACCTTCAACACCACATTCACTGAAACTCTTTATCCTGGGTTTAGACTTTACTCTTACCCTCCTGGTGCCTCAGTGTGTCTGTGCTCAGTTGAGTGTAAAGAGTCTCATTTTGTTAGAGAAAAACTCTGACTGTTGAACAGATAGTTCAATCTGTACATGTCTGTCTCTTTCACTCAGAAACACGTTTTCAGATTCATGGATTCAATCCATTCATGTTTTAAACTGTTCTAAATGATTCCTTGTAAATGTTTTCCTGTCTTTTTTCCACTTAAAGCGTCACAGTGAATATCAGTATGCTGTATTTCTCTGAAGCTCAGATAACAACCAGCTCTTTTGTATTTTCAACAAGTCTGAGCTTATTATAATGAATCCAAATGATTTTGCTTTCTTAATTTCGTTTTCTCTCCACATGATCTTACAGTTTCACACATTTGTTTGAAGCTACACATTTAAAAATGCTCCAGCCATGTAAATTGAAAAAAATTGGCTTAATCGTTTTTAAGGGAGTTATAACCATAAAATAATTGTGTTTGAGGTATCATAATGCATGTGATTCATCTAATAAATAGCAAGACTGTATATACCATTTGAAACTAGTCTTGTCTTTTTCACAGACACCTTTGAACATGAATATTGTGCAGTATGTTGGTAAAAGCATCGTTATAATATTCTTAGAAACATTTAAATATGTCTTTATAAAATTCAATATGTCGTCTACCACTTCAGTTTGTATAAAACATTAGAACTGTCACAAAACTTAATGTTAAAGAACCTGGTGGAATTCTTGTAGTGTATTTTAGTCATAGTTTTGTGTCCATGATTCCTTTTACACTATTTGAATTCAAAGTTTTTACTGAAAGACAATGTCAAATCAGGTGAATTTTGAATGACAAGAGTTTAGTTCATTATTTTTGAAGTTAACCCTTTCAAATTTGATTTACCAGGAACAAATATTGAGAGTTAAGCAGCTAAATGCTAATATGAATGTTGGAGTGAGTCTGTTAAAAGTTGTTATTGTTGTGCTTAAAATTGTGAACCTTTTTTAAAACTGCATGATTAAAGATATTCTTCTGTTTTTATTCTCCTCCCCTGGTGGGGGAGGCTATAGCTATAGTGTTCAACTACAGGCACATTCCATGACTCATTTGACTTATTTGGTAAGGAATGTTCACTTCCTGCCCTTTAGGAGCTGACCTTTGCTTGTATATGGTGAACCATTAAACCCACATAGCAAAGTTGGTATGGCCCGGATCTGGCCCACAAAATGTGCTTACACATGGCCCACATACCGCAAAGAATGACGGCCCTTTGGTGGCCCAGATCTGGTTTGCCAAAGTGGCCCACACATGGGCCAGCACAGGGCCAGTTGCAGACATACTGGTGGTCCTGTGCTGGCCCATGTGTGGATTACCTCTGGCAAGGCTGATGGGGCCGTCATTCTTTGCGGTATGTGGGCCATGTGTAAGTTGTGTGCAGCCACGAGCCAGTTGTAGACACACTGCTGGCGAAGAACAGTTTCAGCTCTGGTCCCAGATGTCAGCCTAATGTGTACCTTAATCAAGCCATGTAATAACAACATGTGCCAGAACATAATAGTGCAAAAGTAATATGATAAAACACTTCAGACATTGGATGGACTGATTCTTATACAGCACTTTTCTACTCTCCCGTATTATTCTATACAACATGCCACATACATCCAATCACACACTTTCTCTAAACTGAGTGCTTCCTAACTACATTCATACACATTCACACTCTTGACATGCATCCCTGGAGGAGCCAGGGATCTAACCACTAATCTTCCAATCAGTAGGTGACCTGCTCTACCTCCTGAGCTACAGCCACCCGGTGGTAAACATGAGTAAACCCTCACTAGGTTTTAGATAAAGTGTACACTCACAAACCTGTCGAACCTGCATTTTAAACGTTGGCTACCATAGCAGTACAGTATTGCAACATGGCATTTGGGTCTTCTAACTAAAATCGGAAAATAGGAACATAAACAGTGGCGTCATTGCCAGACCTGGCCCACATCTGGTTGACATACACCCTGCCATGACACCAGTCAGTCAGAAGTGCCAGCTTGATGCCGGATCTGGGCCAGACCGGTTTTCTATGAGCCTGGGCCACATAAACCAAACTATAATTGGGGCAGATGTGGCATGCCATCACATAAACAGTGCCATCTACGCCAGGCCTGGCCCATATCTCGATGACATACCACCTACCATGCCTGAAGTCAGCCAGCAGTGCCAGCTTGACACCAGATCTGGGCCAGACCTGTCTGCTATGCGGGAAGAGGTTAAGCCTTTATACGGGCCAGGGGAGATGACCGTATGATAACTAGGGATGTGGTTAAGCGGTTGTAAGCATATATTGTGTAGCAGGAAGTCACGTATACAGAGACACATACACACATGCACACACACACACACACACACTTTCACTCACATGCTCGCACGTGCATGCACACACACAATGCCTTAGTTTTTACAACACGTCGCAGGGGTTTTACAGTGGGGGGTTGTGTTAGCTTTGTGAGTGCAACCTCACCTTGGAAGTGAAAACGTACGAGTGCCTCTTCTGTCCTGTTTCCAGTCTCTTGTGGTCTGATTCCAACAGGGTCAAATATTTAGATCCAACAATGGATAGTACCTTGGATAGCTGATCAATAGTGTCACACATCAGTTTGATATCATTGCCGCTACTGGTGGCTGTCAGCATTCATTAAATAAGGTATAACCCACAGAGTTATGTAAATGGCCGAGACAGAATATGTGGCTGTAGAAATTGCTGAGGAAGTTTGCTGTAGAATAAACTTCTATAGTCCTTGTAAAAAGTTCCAACTTCAATCTTTAGAAAGTCTAGAAAGTGAAGGAAATTAGAAAATAATAGGGTGTGGAGGGTTTAATTCTCATAGCACACTCTGGGGAGGAGAAAGTGTGTTTAAGCAAATAGTATTTCCACTCTCTGTACACACAAATCTCCAACTGTCTGACAACTACACGACAGTGAAACATGTGGAGAAGGTTCAGTCATATCCTGATCATCCAGACAGATTTGATGTTTGGCCTGAGCTGCTGTGTAGTAATGAACTGACTGGTCGCTGTTACTGGGAGGTCAAGTGGAGTGGAAGAGTTGACATGTCAGTGAGTTACAGAAGAATCAGAAGGAAAGGAGACAGTTATGACTGTGTGTTTGGATACAATGATCAGTCTTGGAGTCTGAACTGCACTGATAATGGTCCTGATTCTGTCTGTCACGCTAACAGTCGAACATCCATCTCCTCCTCTGTCTCTAACAGAGTAGCAGTGTATGTGGACTTTCCTGCTGGCACTCTGTCCTTCTACAGAGTCTCCTCTGACACTCTGATCCACCTCCACACCTTCAACACCACATTCACTGAAACTCTTTATCCTGCATTTTATTTCTTTCCTTGTGCCTCAGTGTGTCTGTGCTGAGTTGAGAGTAAAGAGTGTCCTCTTGTTAGAGAAACACTCTGACTGTTGAACTGATTATTCAGTCTGTACATGTCTGTTTCTTTCACCCAGAAAAAATGGTAAATGGCCTGTATTTGTATAGGGCTTTACTAATCCCTAAGGACCCCAAAGCGCTTTACACATCCAGTCATCCACTCATTGGCGATGGCAAGCTACACTGTAGCCACAGCCACCCTGGGACGCACTGACAGAGGCGAGGCTGCCGGACACTGGCACCACCAGGCCCTCTGACCACCACCAGTAGGCAATGGGTGAAGTGTCTTGTCCAAGGACACAACGGCCGAGACTGTCCAAGCCGGGGCTCGAACCGGCAACCTTCCGATTACAAGGCAAACTCCCAACTCTTGAGCCATGATTCATGGATTCAATGAGTTGATGACGTTTCTAAATGATTTCTTGTAAACTTCTTCCTCTTCAGTCCTTTAAAGATGGACTCAGGAAACTTGCTCATTTCCACATTGACTTAAAAATTGTAACTTTGTTTTATCGTTCTTTTATTGAGTCTGTTTTATCTTTTTGTTTGGTAGCATGATTTGGTCAGACCTCTGTCACAGAGAAAAACTCACTGAATCAGATAGTGAGATGGTCCAGTCGCCTGATAGGTGAGTAACAGTCCTGTTTAGCCTCCCTGTCCTCTACACAGATACAACAGATGGCTTAATCAATTCTTAAAAATGGTTCTCATCCTGTACGGGGTGAATTTCAGCTTCTTTCCCCAGGAGGGAGGTTTCTATTTCCAAGATGTAGAACAAAGTATTATAAAAACAGCTTTGCCCCTGTTGCTGTCACTGAACTAAATAAGATATATTTTTTATTTGATTCATATTGTTCAAATACTATATATGTGTTTTTTGTGAGGTTTTAACTAGGAATGTGTGTTCGTGAAGGGATGCCAAATGCTATCATTTTTCTGCAAAGCAAATTTACCTATGGGTATAAACAAAGTAACCTTAACCTCAAGGTCAGCTAAAAACAACTTTCACTAACACACTGAGTGTTTCTTTGATCTGTAGTCAAACCAGTTTAAAGTGTCACTACAACAGAAACTACAATAGAAACATAATTTTAATGCTTCGCTCAGTAACAGGACAGAAAGCCTCCAACAAACATTTTTACATGTTTCTAAATTGCAAACTTGAGAATTTCTGATATTGCTTAATCCCTGGTTCCCCACAAGCACCTCCCTTCCTGCTCTTCCTGTTTCGCTTCTCTTTGCTGATCTCCGTGTCAGACGACCTTCTTTAGCACAAACAGCACAGATCTGCCGGACTCACAGCTGGACCAACGAGGCAGAGTGGAACCAGACCAGCAGCAGGTTTGAATTCATCTTTTCTCTCAGACATTAGAGGCAGCTTGTGCTTCTGTAACTTAAAGCACTGAAAGTTCCTTCAGCACATTTCTTCTCTGCTCTCCTTTATTGACCGTCATTGTTCTTGCTTTCTAATGATGCACCATAATGTTTCGTAAAGCCCATCTTGTCGTCTTTCAGTAACCGTTTGAAATGTCCCTCTAACCCAAATACTCGAAGAGTTACATTAGTGCGAAGTGCACATTAAGCGCACCACTAAGCGGTGTTCACTTTTCTTTTTCCAGTCAGCTGTAGCTTGTGAACGCTTTGTGCTACCGTAATACACTAAATATCCCCGTAAAACTCAGTCTCTCTTCTTTCAGTAACCATGTGAATTTTTTCCCCTAGCTCAAATGGTCAATGAGTTACGGTAGTGCGAAGCACACATGGTAAAATCTAGGCGGAGTTGAGTTTTCCTTCTGTGTTTAGATTTTTTTTAATGAACTTTATTGAACACACAATGAGTGTACAACATACAAACAGTATACAAAAGAACAGAACATTTCTGTGTTCAGACAGCTGTAGCTTGTGAATGCTTTGTGCTACCGTAATACGCAAAATATCCCTGTAAAGCGCAGCTTCTCTTCTTTTCGAAACCTAGCTTTCTCTAGCATAAATGAAGAGTTACAGTCGTTTAAAGACTGCTTGTGAAATGGGCCCGTCGGCTGGCCATTGGTCAATAAAGCGTTAAGTTCTTCTGCTTTGTTTGAGTATTTCACCTTTTTCACTGATGCACTCACTTCCACCCAGAGGTCTCCTCACACTTTCTCCTTATTATCTTTTTGATGGACATTATGGTAAAAACTCTCTCATGATGTCATTTTATCTCTATGTGAATCCATATTTACTATGAAAGTCGTTTAACAACGTTATTATTTGAAAATAAGTGATGTACAGCAGAGTAAGCATTTCTGAGGCCACTGAGAGAAAAGAGGGACACACTGCCTGTGAGCTCACCAACACACACATTTACACTTGGTTTGTCTTCACAGCAAAAAAACACACTTCGTGCTCCTGATGTTCTGCAATTAAAATCTATTTAAGAATTGACACTGTGATTTGTGCTTTTAATTTGATTTTAATTCAACACACAGGAAATGTAATTTGTAGAAACAATGTAACGCAGTGTAAAAGAGCAGAAGCACTAAAATAGACTGATGGATTATTCTAATATCAAGGATCAAGGACAGGTATGTTCAGTTCAGTTTTTCTTCTATAACATGTAAACGGCAGCTGCCTGTAGCTGTTAAGGTGGAACCTTTTCTGATATGCTACTTTAAATATCAGTGTGACAGCTCTGACCATCAGTCGTTGTCTTGCCTGCTAATTTCAGAGGATTCAGCCTTTGCAGAGCAATAAATCAAATACAAAAAACATCCTGTTAAAACTGTAACTGTAACAGTAACACGGTCAGTATTTTTATTGATTGATTTATTGATTAACATTCAAATATCTCAGTGAATACAAAATAAAGATTACCACAAAGCAAGAAAGCATAAGACAAGGCTAATCAAAAGGTATTGGCTGAAGCATATGCTTTACACCAACACTTTTAACAAAAGATCTTTTAGCATGCAGCTCATGTAGGGCTCAAAGCAAAGAATAAAACAAAACAAAGCAAACAAACAAACAAAAAACAAAACAAAACAAAAAACTTTGCACCTTAGATTAGTAACTACATTAAATTAAATTTCATTAAAATAATCAAAGAAAAACAACCAAGAGTTTCAGTATTATTATTTTTGCTCTTTTCATTCTTTATTTATATATTATTTTTCTAATACTCTATTTTTAAACATGCTTTCAAACAAGGAAAATGAACTACACCTTTTTAAATCACTTTCATTTTACAAGTTAACTCCTCTAACAGAAACACATCTGTGCTTTATGTTTGTCCTTATCTTGTTTTTTTTGTTTTTTTTTTTAAAGAATTCTGTTCCCATTAAGTCATATTGACTCTCTCTGACTTTAAACAGCTTCTGAGTACTGCGGCAAAGCAAGTTATTTTGTGCTTTATACAGTATCTGTGCCATTTTATATTCAACTAAATCATAAAATAGAGAGCAATAAAGTGTGTATAATGATTTCTTGTTCAGGACATGCTTTGTTTTGTAGAGAATAGCAACTTTTGTTTTCACATGGTTTATATGAGACTTCCAGATACCAAGGCGTTCCTAGGCCAGCCGAGAGATATAATCTCTCCAGCGTGTCCTGGGTCTTCCCCGGGGCCTCCTCCCGGTGGGACATGCCTGGAACACCTCACCCAGGAGGCGCCCAGGGGGCATCCTTGTCAGATGCCCGAACCACCTCAGCTGACTCCTTTCGATGTGGAGCAGCAGCGGCTCTACTCTGAGCCCCTCCCGGATGGGCGAACTTCTCACCCTGTCTCTAAGGGAGAGGCCAGCCACCCTTCGGAGGAAGCTCATTTCTGCCGCTTGTATCCGCGATCTCGTTCTTTCGGTCACTACCCACAGCTCGTGGCCATAGGTGAGGGTAGGGACGTAGATCGACCGGTAAATTGAGAGCTTCGCTTTTACACTCAGCTCCCTCTTCACCACGACGGACCGGTGTAGCGTCCGCATTACTGCAGCTGCAGCCCCAATCCATCTGTCGATCTCCGGCTCCCTTCTCCCATCACTCACGAACAAGACCCCGAGATACTTGAACTCCTCCACTTGGGGCAGGAACTCATCCCCGACCCGGAGTGGGCACTCCACCCTTTTCCGGCTGAGAACCATGGCCTCAGATTTGGAGGTGCTGATCCTCATTCCCGCTGCTTCACACTCGGCTGCGAACCGTTCCAGTGCGAGCTGGAGGCCCCACCCGATGAAGCCAACAGAACCACATCATCTGCAAAAATCAGAGATGAGATTCTGAGGCCACCAAAGCGAAAGCCCTCCACCACTTGGCTGCGCCTAGAAATCCTGTCCATAAAAATTATGAACAGAACCGGAGACAAAGGGCAGCCCTGGCGAAGCTTTCAATTTCAATTCCATTAACCCTGATTTTAGATACATTTTTCATTTGTCTAGTGGCAAAAATAATAAATTTTGTTTTGTTTATATTTAACGATAACTTATTTATATCAAACCAGTTTTTTAATATATTTAACTCCTTTTCCACTGTAGTCAGAAGCTGTTCTAGGTTTTTACCTGAGCAATACAGAGTGGTATCATCAGCAACCAATACACATTTTAACAATTTGGAAACACTACATATGTCATTTATATATGATACGGATACTTCAGGGCCCAGCACAGAGCCCTGAGGAAAGCCACAAGTTACCTTCAACTGATTAGATTTTACATTATTGATTTCAACATATTGATATCTGTCATCCAGGTAACTTTTCATCCACTTGTATGCTATGCCTCTTATACTATATCTCTCTAGTTTATTCATTAATATAGAATGATCAATTGTACCAAACGCCTTTTTTAAGTCTATAAAAACACCAACAGTATATTCCTTATTATCAATTGCAGTAGATATCCCTTCAACAACTTCCATCACTGCCATCCAAGTGGACCTTTTCACTCTTAAGCCATATTGGTTATCACTTAGGAGATTATGCTTCTCAATATATTTATCAAGTCTATTAACAAATAACTTTTCTAAAATTTTTGAGAACTGTGGGAGTAGTGATATTGGCCTGTAATTAGTAAATTGACATCTCTCTCCATTTTTATGGATTGGAATAATTTTTGCTATTTTCATTTTTGAGGGAAACATACCAGTTCAAAAGGACAGATTACAAATGTATGTGAAAGGTCGCAGTATATATTCTATAATACTTTTAACTAATATCATGTCAATACCAAAACAGTCAGTGGACTTTTTATTTTTAAATGTTTTCACAATGTTCATTATTTCTCTATGAGTTACAGGACCAATAAACATGGAGGACAAATTCTGAGTAAAATGTTTATTTAGGTCGTTATTTTTACTTGACTCTGGAATTTCTTTTGCTAAATTATAGCCAACATTTACAAAGAAATCATTAAATTCATTTGAAATGTCTTTAGTTTTATCAAGCACACTATCTTTATCTTTTTTAAAATTGTCTGGATAATTCTTATATTTTGAGCCCTATTTGAATATACTATTTAATAACCTCCATGTTTCTTGTGTGTTACTTCTACTTTGCTCCAATAATTTGTTATATATAATCTCTTATATAGATTTTTTTTCTTTTTACATGCATCTTCTACCCCCTTTGTGATCCATGGCTTATTTGATCTGTGATGTTTTTTTGTGATTTTCATTAAAGGACAATGTTTTTCATATAGTGAAATTATAGTTGATAAGAATGCATCATATGCACTATTTGAATCTTCATTTGCAAAAACCTCATTCCAGTTGTGTTCCTTTAAGTCCACCTGGAGGGCAGCAATGGCTCTTGTTGTTCTATGTCGTATCATGTCAAATGTTTGATGCTTTTATTTAGTTTTAATCCCAAAATAATTTTGAAAAATTGCCAAAACAGGAAGATGACCGCTTATATCAGTTATAAGAAGTCCACCTACTATTTCATAGTCAATTTTATTTGTAAATATATAATATCTATCAATGTAGCTGTATCAATTCATATTCTACTTGGTTTTATAATTACAGTGAAAAGGCAGTTACTATACATTGTATTGATGAAATCTGTTGTTTCCTGATGTCTATTTGGGTTTAGCAAATTTATATTAAAATCACCACAAATTATTTGTGCTTTTTTATCATTTAGGTGGCTAAACATAGCAGAAAGTTTTTCATTGAATGTGTCAAAGCATGACCCTGGTGACCTATAGATGCAACTTATAATTATATTGCTAGCTTTTTCAACGTGGATTTCAATAGTAACAAATTCCAATACGTTATCTATGGTGCTTGATGTACATTCAATCAGACATTTGATTATACTCAGACTGACAGCAGCTTCAGTGCATTTACTTCATGTTTGTCTGATTAGACACAATCACTGCTGCATTTTAGTGTCTCTGCTGGAACTGCACCAAAACTCCTTCATTCACCATCCCAACACTGAGAGGGATGTTAGAGACACAGGGACACCTTCACCTCTCCCCCTAGAAGTTCCCCTGGAGCTGAGAAAGTACCAGAACACAAAGAGAAGAAAAGACGTCTTTTCAGGAGGTCAGAAGGAACCCACTTCAGTTTTCATCCACTCAAGCAAAAGTTCCAGCAAAACAAATATTTGAAAGATTAGAAATTAAAACATCAAATCTATCACATAGATCAGCGGTCCCCAACCTTTTTTGCGCCACGGACCGGTTTATGCCAGACAATATTTTCATGGACCGGCCTTTAAGGTGTCGCGGATAAATACAACAAAATAAAACTAGTACTGGTACCGAAAAAAAGAAAATTTATTCATAACACACGTGAAAAGACCAAGGAAAACCGAGTAAACGCTAAAAACGATAACAAAATAATGCTGAAAACCAATAAAAACCCTGAAAACTATACATTTCACA